ACTGGGAGACACTCGAGATTCATGAGCTTTGGCGCTGGGTCGTGTGGCAATAGCCAAACACCGAAATTACCAGCCAGCTCAGTCTAAGAGACTGGGAATGTATGGGAACCACAAGCTCTGAGCACAGCTGCAATTGATGAAGGGGTCAAATTGAAAGGAACACAAAAGGAATGGATGATGTAACAAATGGGTGGTCTGCTTTCGCTTGGACCGATGAGTTTCGCTTGCAACTCGCCGAGCTGCGGAGCGAGCATCCTTTCTCCGGGCGATCTGCAGGAACCTCAGCGGATCCGTGGTTGCCCGGGTCTGCTGGGCGAATTAGATTCGGGGCAGTGAATGATCAAGTCAATGGCACCATTGTATGCAAATTCTTCCAAGGTTATCATTACAGTCTATCAGCGGTAGTCAATACTCTCAAGGCTCCAAACAATTTCTACCTTGTGACAAAAACTGTGTGAAGAAGAACGCGGTTGTGGTCTGCCTTGCTCCGGATTGTGCCTGCTGGTGAAGATGCACCAAAAGCTAGGCACAAAATGCAATAAACAGAAAAGGGGCAAACCGCTGTTGACAGCTCGTAGCAGAACAACTATGGGGACCACACCGTGGAAAGGAATGACCTAACAACCTTGCCAAAAGCCGAAACATGCAAACACAAAAGAGATGGTAGCTATTCATCTACAGTACTTGCCGTTGCTTATTGACAATCCCTCCGAAATTGGCCGTTCTACTACGAGACCCTGCCGTATACAAAGAACACAATGAACAAATGTTTCTAGCTTTGGACCGGCGCTCAACAAACTCTCAACTCTTTGGACTGTCCTGAACCACCGGCGCTGCTGCGCCAGGGATGGTGCAAGTCAGGGGAAGGGCAACAGATCGGTTTTTGTCTCTTTTCGTGTGACTTTACTAAGAACGACCCCTCAACCGATTGGTTGATCTGCAAGTCTTCGGAGGGCTCCAGCCAAAAGGGTGTTCAGTTATTCTCGGGGCAGTCAAGCACCGGGAGGAAACATTCACCCAGAGCACCACACGGCACAATGTCACAAGCGGCAGCTTTCTATTTTTATTGGCTCTCAGGGACCAAAAGGGGTGGCTCGTGCTTTGCACGCTCCTCGAAAATTCCAGTCCAACTCTTGCCGTGGAAAGGAGGCCCTGGGCCATCCTGGGCCATCCTTCGCGAGCGCTTGGTGGCGCAAGCAGCTGGCAGCAGGGCACCATTGTTTTCATGGTGCTCTCTCTACCTAGCAAAAATCGGAGGAACTCCGTTCCAAGGGTTCCAACACCTGAAAAATCTGAAAACATCCACAGCACCAGGGGTCGCTTTCCCCTCAACTTTTCGAGGCTTCAATTTCCTCCGTGAACTTTTTGATGTTGGCAAGTCCCACCTCTGTGCCTCAGCAAGCGCCACCCACTCAAGGTAGCGAGACACACACCCAGTCATCCGAAGTGCCCGGTCACTTGGGCGCCAGTGGCTTTGGGACAACTCGGACCCCAAAGTCTGTGGTTGGACCCCGAGTTCCACACATTAAAAACAGTATAAATATTATAAATATATAATATTATCTAATTATATGTATATAATGTACATGTACATAAAATAACATCATATAATATAGATGAATATAGTAGATTGATATTACAATGTATCACATAATATATATATATAGTAGATTCACTCTATACAATGCTTGTGTATCTGTGGTGTGCAAGGCTGGTGAGACTCGGTGAGATCACAAAGGGAGGGACCACCGGTTGGGCCGAAGAAGAGTCAAATTCTTTCGGAAGAACAGTCACAAGTCTCATTCCGATTCCATGACTTTCAATCTCTGGCCCCCTCGAGGCCCTCGGCCAAGCTAAGGACTGACAAGAACTGAAGAACATAAATGTGTTGGGTTCAACTTGCCTGTAGGCAACTCCCCAAAAGCCGTCGCCGAATGCATTGCGCGCAACAATGACCTGTCTTTTTGCCACATATACATGTGGAAGGCCTTGGGCAACTCGTATCCTTAATTGAAATGCCTGGCAAAAAGAGAACTCCTAAACTCATCTAAACTCTACATGTTCAAATTGGATCAGCCAAATTTGGACACCCTTTTCACTGCAGGTCATTTCCACAAAGGGTCATTCCATCACACGGCGTGCGTCCCAGGTGCCCGTGACGATCTCCTTTCGCTTCACTGTGCTCAGCACGCAGCCCAAACAGCTGCCCAGTCCGAAGCTGTACCTTGGACATCCTTGGACACTTGGCCAAGGTATATAGTAGTCTTGGAGAAAAGAATGGATATATAAAAGAAGAAACGATTCAGATTCCCTTACAAGGATATCCAATGAGGGGAACCAGGAGGAAGATTCCCCTATGAGGTGTCATACAAAAATCTTGCAAATCGTCGTGGCTGACTCCAAGTTCGTCCGTTGGTTGCCCAGCACCTGCAGCTGAAAGACGCCCTCGCAAGTGAGGCAGCCGCACATCGCGAGCCCGACCCATCCTCGGACATCCATGACCCCTAAGTGATCCAAAGATCGCTATCAACATCTGAACCACCATATTATGCAAGTGCGTGGCAGGGGAGACTCAGCCATGAGTAACACAAGGGTTGCAAAGACGGAGGTCATTGTTGCGCTCCTAATTTGTAAATGCGCTGTTCCCTGTAAGTAAACAGGAAGAATACCATCATGTAGATTGTTGCTTCCAACATTCAATTGGCAACTCGACATAGTTACCTGATGTTACCTGTTAGCCAAAGGGAATCTCACACAGGCTTCAACATCAATGTTTTCTGTCCCATTCTCATGTAGTGATTGCTTCAATGACTTGAACCTTCTCAAGTTGTTGTACAACATCCTGCCACCATAACATGGCATCATGGTTCTTTCCGCTTTTGTTTTGTCAGGCTATATATATAATATGTAAAATGGAATTCCGAATTCCTGGTATTTCCGGGGTTAGTACGCAATCTCATTTTACCTGTGCCAACTGCAACAAACAAATCACAAGCCGTCTGTCGTTGTAAAGCTGCTCTATGCAGGGAAGTCTAACCCGGCAGCCACAGACTTTCAAGGTAACCACCGAATGATTTTTCTGGCCAGAAAGCCTGCACCTGTTTTCTTTTGTTTAATGCCTAAGCCTTAAGATCGGCCGGGTGGAACCAATCAACGCATGCCTAAGCCGGACGCACGGATCACTGACGCTCTTCCAAGCATCGGAAACCTTGCTGTTCTTTCCTCGGTTCTTGAGCAGGACCCGTGCCACAAATCGAAACAACACATGCCCGTAGCTAGAAACTACTAGTAACAAGGGCATCGCTTCTTGTAGCTTCTTGTTACTAGTAGTAATTCACTTACCTTTCTGGTTCAGATTTCAGGTGCAGCAAACTCAGGCCAATAAGCAGCGAGGTTCTTAATGTATGATTTAGGTCTTGCCTTTTGGGGGGGAGGGAACACACATATCGATGAAGAGGGATCTGCACTCAAAGCATACCGATGTCAAAAACACATCCTGGTCTAAATGACTTCAGTCTAATGTAGCGAACGAAGCAAAACAAAGACATATCACTGCGTAACCACAGCCATTGACGACTAATTATTACTACCCAACTTTTTTTGCAGAAGCGCTTTGGTCACCTTGGTATCTGAAAGCTGTGGACATCTGTTCAAATGGAAAAGGTGTCGAGTTGAAATGTTTGCCGCATCGTTTTCGAACAACTCCGACATTAAGGTGTCTGTAATATCCTGTCGCTACTCCTGTCGCCTGCTTGTTCTCGCTTTTGCTTTTGCCTCCCATCTCCCGAAAGCGAGTGGTCCTGGGTATGTCTTTTTGCTAAAATTTGGCATCGACCTCCCGTTTCCTCAATCCCTGATCCAACGATGGATTTGCTGCATGCTTCCCCCTTACTTTGACACTGGAAACATCAACCTGACACAATCAACATCCTCTAACCTAGCTACCAGTTGTCAGAGTTACAAGTCCAACATACCACAAGTGTCCACGAGGTATAAAGTTCCAGTGTGGCAAACCCCGATCGAACGAAAAGCTGCCGGAGAAGTCTCCGGAACCCAACTCTTTCCACGAGGGTTTGGAGGTGTCTTGGATTTTTGAGTCCACGTATGCTTTCTGATGTCACGAACGTCCCAAACACCTGTGGAAACGTTTCTGATGTCAAAGGGGACGTTTCTTATGTCACTAACCTGTGGAAACGAACGTCCCCAAAAAATACGAACATGCCAGGTAAGCGTCAAGTCTTTGATCGTGATCGGCACAGAGACGCCCTCCATGTGCAGCATGAAGGAGCCTCCTTCCACGAGGCCGCCTTGCACGTCAGAGATACCTCAAGTCAAAACGAAACAAACAAAGAACTATGAGGACCAGTCATTATGTCAGTTAAAAGTTGTAAGTCAGTTATGTTTCAGTCCCCGTTCGTCACGAATATGGAACATGCTTCATGGGACTTGTTTGGTGAGTTTCTCATCTCATTCAAACTAAACCAAGCACCTATTGTTGTATGGCAATGGCCTGTCGTTGGCACCGGTAATTAGTTAACATATGTTGCTGCAAAAAAAAAACTGAGTTCCCCTCTTCAAAAAGAGACCCAAGCAAGTCAACGACGTTAAAGACTTCAGCTGCCAATCCCGTTGATCGATCGTGCATAACTGTTGTTCGTGAAACAGCCCTTTCAGAGACCGCTTTCCGCAACTCTTGGTGCGTGCAGGGCCCAGGGCACATGGTAATTGGCATATGGCGTTGTGTAGCGTTTTATCATGTCCACAAAGGAACGGGCCCGAGAAGTTCAAAGAATCCCACTGCAAATCCTCCAAATTGGTTTTGTTACGTAGGGAAGAAAATCCCACCCCACCAAATCAAGTGTAAGGGCTAAATTGGCCAGTCCTAGATCAAACACCAGAGAAGGAGGCCAAAAAATATACATCAGACTGACCGATCTCCCTGAAGATGCTCATCCAACAGCATCCACGATGGTATTTGATCATGTCAATTTTTCCATACAAAAGGCTACTGCTTGGAAGGCACACTCCTGCTCAAACGCTGCTAAGCCACTCTTGATATCAGCATCCCACTCAGGCCAACGTTCAAGCTGCCCTAGATAGGTCCAAATGGTCTCTGGGCTTGCAGCAATCTCCGCTGTCCGCTCCACCGGCATGTGGACAAAGCTGGCAGCTTTTGATCAGAATATGGTTCAGCTTCCCCTTTTATGTTTTATCAGTTTGGGGATTTCCGCAATTTCACCACACCCTTCGAATTGGGTGCTCATCAGACCTGGAGAATATACACTAAACTCCCACTCGTGGAAGCTCCAAAGAGTAAAACGCAACAGTTGATGGTAGAAGCCCCGAACCACCTAAGATGCAAAAAATGCACCGTGAATACTTTGCATGTCTTCGCTATGTTTTCGCTATCGCAGGTGGTGCAGGACTCCTTCATGTTCTTTCCACCACGGTCAACCCCATGATGTTGGATCGACAAGATCTTTGCCATTTATCATGCATCACATTGCATCACCAAAGCTACTCAAATCTCGGCCTGCTGAAAGCTGTGAGCGAAGATGGAGGCACGCGAAGAAGGCAAGCACGCAAGTCGCATATGTATACCGCTGCGTGTGTGATGGAATCGTTTTCGCCCAAAGCTGGGTGCTTGTGCTGGGTCTGTGGTGACATAAGAGCCTACTGTATCTTTTACAACTGGTTGTCCAGTTCTTCTGTGGCGGCAGGGCTTGGGGGGTGAGAGCGGTTGTCCATACTATACCTTTCCAAATGGGACAGCTAGAACAGGGCAATAGAATGAATCGTCTGGTTGTATGATGTGTCTCAGTTGCTATTCATATGGCGGGAAGCGTGAAACTGTCTCAGGTCTCAACAACAGGAGGGATGCCACAAGTTCCAAGAGTTCTGTGGATGAAACACAGCAACAATGACCACCACGAAGTTCTCTAGGGATTTGTCTTCAGCCATACCAAGTCATGATCATGGTCAGTCACCATCCCTTGCCCATTTGCTGCATTCCATTCATCCTTCCATTCAAAGGTAATTTCAAAGGTCTAATGATAATGTAGAACATCGAGCAGAAATGCTTTGGGACGGACAAAGCCAGCGTTGGTCCGGATGATGAGCCATAGTGCACCACCGGGATACCATGGATCCTAGGTCCTAGGATGTCCGACAGGTCCTTTCTTTCGATGCAATGAAGCTTCGCTGGGTCCCTACATTTCTGAGATGAGAGGTGGCCCCAACGCTGCCCGCTCCTCGAAAGAACAGGCTCTTCCCGGGACTTTCCATGGCACTGGCGTTGTGCTCTCAAGAATTGGCAGCGTAAAGCGGGAGTTGCTCTGGAAAGCCAAAGGATCCAAAACCCTCGAGACAGACCATCTGCAGTGTGTCGCACGTCTGGTCTGGACCATTCTGGGCTGCCAGATTCTGACATGTCGTTGCAGCTGAAACGGCGAAGTCCCTTCCCGAGACCAAAACGTCGACAACCAGGCTCCAAGGCTCTCAAAAACGCCACGACCCTTTGGTTGGAACATCGACCATGGGTTTTGGCCATAAGGAGTTGTTCTTCAATTTCCGATACATTCTCCTCAGGAAAATTTGCCTCAAAACAGCTGCAGTTCATGCCGGAGTGGTGTTTGCCCCGGGGAACCCCACGCGCGGATCTCTGTGATCTGCTTGGGCATGGCCTGCGTGTGGCATTGGTCGCCGAAAAGGTTAGGCAGCTGAGCAAAGCCCCTCCCCAGCCCATGGAGAATCAGTTGCTTGCAGCACTGCAAGAGTGGTTTCACTTATTTCATGGCAAAATGAGTAGTAAGGCACCTGTTACTAGTAGCGTGGCACTTGTTACTAATAGCTTCTTGTTCTTATGTTGAAGGTCAATCCACCAAGAAACCTGAGTGAGATAA